CAAACACTAACAGGGAGCCTAGACTTGTAATTACAGTGCTACAACTCGACCTAATGCCACTAAATATCAAATCAAAATAAAATCAAATAAAAAATGTTTCTGGATTGAGGACATAGGACGGATTGTGAAGGATAAGCATTGTTGGAAAAATGGTTGGCTGAGTGGATGGTTAGCACTCTCGCTTCTCAGCAAGAAGGTCCTGGGTTCGAATCCCGGTCGGAACAGGGCCTTTCTGAGTGGAGTTTGTATGTTCTCCCCGTGTCTGCGTAGGTTTCCTCCGGGTACTCCGGTTTCCCCTACCACTAAAAACATGCACAATAGTTCTGGCATGCGCCTCCTGTATTGACCCCGCTCCCATCTCTGTGTGGAGTGAGAGACAAATGCCCACAATTGTAAACCGCTGTGTGACTCTGGTCTGTGAAAGGCGGTATATAAATAAAGATGACTGACTTACTTAAAACGTTTTTTCTGAGGTTTGTACCGCGGTGTACTGTACCTCACAAGTGTGGAGCACAGATCAACATCACCTCTATGCAAGAAATGGCTATATACGTTTTGAGTGTTGTATGGTGTATCACCCAAGCCACCGTCACACATGTGCTTAGGATGAACCGTGAAACATGAAGAAGAGCGAAATATGGGACCTTTAAAGATATTTTTTTTTTGACAACATGGAGCAGAATATATCATCTGTAATAATATTTTCTCATGTATTATTTTCAGCGTGCCGTCTTTCTCACATGTTTGCTACATGACTTATAGTAATGAGGATCAAGTGCTATGACCTTTCTATGATTTTCCATCTGATTGTGGTGATTCACTGCAGTGTTTCACTTGGAGAACTTGACATTTGAAGCATTTTGCCTTTAGTGCAGTGAACCTCTACATGCACTCCAGATCACACCACGTCAGAGCAGTTCAGTAATGGCTGAGTCATTTTCGTGACATCATTTTGAGTCTTTCTGATTCTCTATTGCTGTGGTTACCAAAGTGGGGGTCCCGACCCACCGGGAGGTTGCGGGAACCCCACCAAGCCCATCACCTGCGTCACTACACAAGTAAAAAAAATACACAAGATTCCTTTTTTGGGCTGGCGAGTGCAGCCCAATTATAGTCTCTATAAAGCGTTACTCCGAATCAAGGAAATACGTGCTCATTCCATGTGACGGGAGGGGCTGTTGAGGTAGGGGGTCGCGGGGGAGCAGCGCATTTATGACGGGGACGCGGGCTAAAAACTTTGGGAACCCCTGCTCTATTGGCTTGGACATGATAATGAAGAGAGATGTTGAGAACATGTCTTAAGGACATAGTGAGTTTCACTTGGCTCCAACCAGTGGGGGCGAGTCCCGGCTCAAAAATGTCCAAAATTACGTGCGCTGACATGATTGCAATACCACCCCGAGCCAATGGTAATGTATAGCATCTTCGTACCTCTCAAAAACGGCTTTACAGGATAGCCCAAAAGTCAGCTCTCGGCCCAAAGCTACGTTCCACATGTGTGTCAAAGCTGACGGGAGTACATTCATTTTTTGGACCACACTAGTTTAGTCGCTGTGGAATTTTGAGGGCACTCTTTAAATGAATGGGGCTAGTGCAGATAACGCATGCGCAAATGATTTTCACAATTTCCTGCCCCTGCGGCCATTTTGAAACTTTCCACACACGCCGAAAGTGATGGAATATTAGTTTCAACTGCGGAGATAGGCGTGACTTTTGTCTGTTAATATTTACAGTCTATGAGTCCAACACCTAGACCAGGGGTCTCCGTGTCAAGGCACAATAGAAAAGGGCCCAGAGACGGTTTCAAAAAAAGTAACTTGGTTGGCTGGCAGGATCAAGGAACAGAGCGGGGGGAAAAAAGCCAGCGGACACTGGAGTAGAGCAGCGGACTAAAACCACAGGAATCAGAGGTAAGTAAACGTTCACAAAATTCAGACTCAAAAAAGGCCGACTGGAAAAATCACCATCAACGTGGGACAATCTGGCATCAACTGGCAGCTTCAAATGGAGGATGACTGCCAATCAGCAGCAGGATATTGCATTAAATTCTTTAATCCTTTGGGAAGCTACCTGAAAGGGGGTGGTGAGCTACTGGTAGCTCCCGAACCAGTTTGGAGTCTAACATTTTGTTCTTTTATTTATTTGACAGGGACATGTGGTCATACATAGTTACAGCATGAACGATGCAACACATAGTGTGTAGCTAATGCTAATTTTCCTGTCACCAGTTGAGCTTTTCTCTACAGAGCAACACATGAAGCAGACTGAAAAAGAGACAGACCGAAAACACATATTTACAACAGTGGTCTAACATTCCCAAGACATTCCCACCAATGTAACGATACACACAGCACACAGTTACAAACACACACACATACTCTCTCTCACAAACACACACACATACAGTTACAAACACACACACATACTCTCTCTCACAAACACACACACATACTCTCTCTCACACAAACACACACACATATTCTCTCTCACAAACACACACACATACTCTCTCTCACACAAACACACACACATATTCTCTCTCACAAACACACACACATACTCTCTCTCTCACAAACACACACACATACTCTCTCTCACACAAACACACACACATATTCTCTCTCACAAACACACACACATACTCTCTCTCACACAAACACACACACACATATTCTCTCTCTCTCACACACACACACACACACACATACTCTCTCTCACACAAACACACACACATACTCTCTCTCACAAACACACACAAACTCTCTCTCTCACAAACATACAAAAAATATGTTATTCCCAGATTCAGTTTTGGTTTGTTTTAAGCTCTTAATAACTTAGTGATTCTGGGGCCAAGTTAGTGACGCATTTGAATGTTAGCTTTAAAGAGGATTCAGTTTTCAAAACATAGTAAGGGACATATTGCAATGGTGATATTGGTTTGGTTTCTTGTCCATGATTTTTATTGCTTGATTGTACAATGGGCCAATGCACTCAGCGGCAGAGGGAGCTGCCCGGGGTCGTGCTGCCATGCAGTATGGTATATGGGAGAAGATCATCCCATGCACGCACAGCAAGGTCCATCTGTATACAGAGACTGTATACTATGTCCTTTGCTCCTTCAACTGTCAGACTTTACAACAGAACTGGATGAGTCCTCTGCTGCTGGACACCTGATACTATTCGAGAAGGCTCATTTTAACTTAAGTTAAAATGCTTTTTTTTGTGGTTCTTTTGAAAAAGACGTTTAGAAGATGGCTCGCAGCTCTGCAGCCGAAACATGTTAACAAGGTAATACATCAAAACTTGTCCTTCAAAAGAAAAAAGTATATTAGTACGTATAATATAAATGTTATATGAATTTTATATATTTCTATGAACTTATTAAGACTGAATATTGCAATACTATTCAATCATCATATTTTTCACTTCTCACTTCTACCTGCGTTTTAAGTCTCAGCCACAATACGATCGATTTATACAATGACATTGTGTTTTGTGTCTTCACACCATACGTTTCACTATGGCCTGCAGCAACATCACAACAGCATTATTGATAACACACACCAGCTACATCCTGAAAAGGGATTTCCTATGATCCAGGTGCTGCTGCAGAGACCGAAGGCCGACTTAAGATGAAATTCTTCCTCAGTAACAATTGGCCCCATGTCGTCGGGCCGCAGGGCACACCACCAGCTCCAAGTCCAGACAGCCCTGTGGTACTGGACTGTTAAAATGGTTATTTCTTATCCACTGTTATTCTTCACAGTCTCTAACCATAAATGTTTCCCAGAGGAAGAAAAATCATGAAAAATCTTGCTCTAATATATTTTTCTTCAGTTTTTAAAATAATTGTGTGTCTGTTTTATACAGCGCAGACACTTCACACACCAGACTCATTCTAATGTGGGGGAAGTGTCTTGCCTAAGGACACAACCACAGTTTGCCACTTTACAGATGCAGCCGCCCCACTGTGGCTCCCGGTGTTCTCAGAGGTCTTCCATCACGGAAATAACCAGATTCTACCCTGCTTAGCATCAGAGATCTGACGGAACCTGGCTTTGACCTACATGTATGGTCATACGTTTATTCTTATCACTGACGCGTCACGTGACATCACTCATTCACTCTGTACATGGACGTTACACTACTACTGTAGCCACGGCTGCCCTGGGGTAGACTTAAGGAACTGCCTTGGCTATAAATGTTGCAGTGTTTCACGTTGATTGTGTACATTTGTCCCAATTAAAATAAATCAATAATACTCTTACTGCCATTGTGTCTGTGTGATATTCGTTTCTTGTGATTTTTAGCTCGTTATATTTTATGTATATGTTTGGTACAATAAACAAGATACAAAATAAAAGCAAGACACAAAATAAAAACAAGACACAAAATACACAGAAAAAAACCATTTGCAAAAAATATTTGTCTCACACACACACACACACTTGACATAACACGTACAAGCACACGCAACAGGACACAGGCCCAAACACTCTCTGACCACACACCTCCCTCCCACTACCACTTCTGTCCTCACTCTTCCACATTTTTCTTCAGCACTTCCTTTTTGAGCCACTTTTGAACAGATTTGAACTAGGGCTGTCAAACGATTCAAAACTTTAATCGAGTTAATTAGACCTTCAAATTTAATTAATCGTAATTAATCAAATTTTGAACTAACGGCAAAATTATGCCATATTTTTCTGCAAATGGTTGTTTGAATGGAAGAATAAATGACGACATAGTGAACATATTTACAGTGGGTCCCATTCCGTTTTGTCGTCTTCATTCACGCTTCTCGGGAATCACGCAGCTGCGTGAAAAATAGTACATCTTATCGCCACAAGGTGGCAGGCTAAGTCCGCTTTAGCTCTTCCAGCGACTTAGACCGTCACAAGAGCTACACATCACTGTGTTGACCTAACAGCCAATCAGGTTCAGAGCAGCGGCAGACACTCATCTGTCTTTTGAAAACCGGACCGGAGCGAGGCTGCCCCATGGATCTGGGCTGCCCGCGTCAACAAAATAAGGTAACTATTATAATATAAATAAGTATTAATTCTCATTACAGTGTTGTCTGCTTTGCTATATGAGCCGTGCAGTGATTAACACGATAAAAGAGGTTTGTGGGAGTCACTTGTTCGTTTTTATGTTAGCTTTCTATTGTGGCTAAGGAGCGAGCTTGTTAACGGTCTGTGCCAAACGTAACGTTACTACATTTGATATTAATTGGTGGGCTTGTTTAAATGGATCATACAAGATGCCAGCGTGACTATTCTTTGTTCCTTGTGGGCTGAAACTGGCATTAAAGTGGCGCAATGCGTCGGCTATCTGGCGCTCATTGGGCTACTAGCCACGCTAGCCTTGACATCGCTCTCGTCTAACTTGTTAGTTAACCCTAACCAGACGAAGTGAGTAGCTGTGGTTAACACTTAACGATGTAATCGATCAAGATATGTGGGGATAACTGATCTGACAGATCATTTATCAATAATTGCGCGAAGTTGACCCCCGCTTTCGTAGCTCTGTTTTTCCAGGTTAGCCACTCGGATGTGGTAGTGCTAACCCAAAGCATCCAATAGATTCATGGTGCGGGCACACAGTTTAGAAATGCTCATAAGAGGACCGTAAATGTGAAATGGCCAATGCTGGCTTTATATGTGATATTTGAGGTGAGTGCGGTGTTCACCCTGTCATGGAAGCAGGAGGCTAGCGTTGAGTTTGAGGGCTGCTGCGGAAGCACGAGTAAACTGAGCCGTTTTATTGCATACAAGATATACTTATGGTAATTAATTCTTGCTCGCGTAGTTGATTATTGCTTACATTTTCCACTAGTCTTGTAAATTTTAACGAGCCTTTTTAAAATATTTTAGATAACCCGTGTTTATGAATTTCATGATCTGTAATTTAAATAGCTATAATACATACATTACAATTTAGCATTTGTTTAAAGATGCTTAATTTGGCGGTGTGTGCAGTTTGACAGGTAAGAATATATACATATTTTTTTTATTTTGTTCTTTTTTTTCCCTGTCAGATGGAGGAGAATCCCAGATCTCTTGTGACTATTGTGCTGGATGACAAAGAGATTGCCAAAAGAGTTTACCATCTCAACACAATTAAAGAACTGATTGATAAAAGCACAAGCTTTTTAACAGACAAAGCCGACTTTCATTCTGTTCAAATATACAGTGAAGATTTTAAGGAATTTACTGATGCGGATGTCAATGTACTTGTCCAGATCCTTGACAAATACAGAATTTCATTTAAATCATACACTTCGGAATATCAGGTTTGTAATGTTCAACTATTGGTAATATTTTTTATTTCTTATTGTAACCTCAACTTTTATCTGTATACTGTTTTTCCTTCCTAAGAACCAGCCCTCGGGTTCAACTTCAATTGGAGCCATTGCTTCATCTACAGTTGGACTGTCAGAGGTATGTCATTTGTTTACATGTTTTACATTATATTGTAGTGAATGATGAATCCTGAGTAATTTTAATAGTGTGTCAAAGTACATTCTTTTCACAACTTAAAATGTGAAGTAATATATATTATGGACTTATGGTAAAGTGACTAGTGCCAATTATTTATGCCTTTATTCTAACTTGCATTATTTTGCTTGTAAAAACCACAAATGCAGTCTTTGTCCTGACTCTGGACTTGGTCCTGATATCTTTCTGTAATTATGTTGCAAAGGTAAATTCCTTTTTCGAGATCTCCTTGTCCATTTTCCATTGTCGATTCTCCTCCATCTGACTTTAAAAAAGAAGAAAAAAATGTTTTGCCTTCTTTTTATGTATTAGTTTCACATAATTACATTTTTCATGATTTTCAAATGTTTCAGCATTCACCTGTATTCATGGATTTCATTGTTTTTTGCAGAATGAACCACAGCCAGGCAATGAGATTTTGAGAAAACTGTTGAAGGAAAAAGCCCCAAATCTCCTCTTGGAGTTCGAATCATCAGGCAGTCTTTCCATCACGTCACGAAAACTGCTTGTTAAAGTATCTGTGAGCCATCTCGTGGAACAGAAGGGATTGTAAGTATTTCAAAATACTCGTATCTACACCTGTACACACACTGCAGTCCGAAAGTCTGACTGATGGCTTTCATTTCAACCAAGCAGGGGCACACCAGACCCCCTCCAATTCTCATGTAAGAAGAAAGTCTTGAGGAAATGGGTTGAGTCCGGTGTGGCTCTGCTTGGTTGGAATGAACCTGTAACTAGGCCTATCACGATAACAATTTTGATGGACAATAAATTGGTTCACAAACATAACGCGATACATGATGCCTTTGATTCTAATACAAAAACCAAATAAGCAATTTCTACATTTGTCAATTTCACTAAGTCATGCATTATGAAAGTTAACAAAATTAAGTCATTTGACCTTGAACTGTTGACTTTTTGCATTTGTTTCTTAAAAAGAAACTCTTTTACGCCATGATTATTATAATGCAATTTACATCATTGAATATGTCAGACCTTTTGTTAATGCAGAGTTTTAAGATAAGATTACAGTTATGGTATCTATATTAAAATGTATCATACAGTTAATCATACTTTTGTCTGTTATTTAGCTATCCCTCAAAGGATGACAAAATACTTCTGGCTAGAAGTATAGTAAGTCTTTCCCTCGCTAAAGATAAACTACCAGGAAAAAAATTAAGGATTTGTGAGTATATTTACACACACGTGTGTGTGTGTGTATAATATATACACATGTATAACTGTTCTTTTTTTTTATTGTCTAGGAGCATTTCTTTGACCCAGTTTCCCATTGTGGGTTTATTGAAATGAGGGTGAGGAACCTCCGCAGAAGTCTTCACGAAGATCAGCGGCGATACCGGAAAAGAGTTCGTTGTAGTGTACCCGATCCTGATGTCATAGTTACCCTTCACATGGCAGAGCAGGAGGCAGAGGCTACACTGGAGTGGACATCTGCTATTAAAAGGATGAAGCCCATCCCTGAGAACATTGCAACAATCAAAATGGGCATGGATAAAACATTCACAAGTCGGAGGCTTTGGATTTCAACAGAGTCTCCCACAATGCAGGAAATTGTCGCTCACTATCCACGCTTTATTGACCTACTGTGCTTGGTAAACATTACATCTTCTTAACCAATAATTGTGTTCTCTAAATGTATCATTGGACATAGTAACAAGAGAATTTGAAATGGAGATGGAAACTGCTCTGAAAAAGTTTAGATTTGAAAGTGTCAATCAATTCTTAAAATTTGTCTCTATGAAAACTTAATATAGCAAGGTTGGCTTTATTTGTCTAAATTCTCTTTCTCTGGCTCTTTATCGCCTCAAACACTTTTGTGTTTGTACAATTACATAGTTAAACTATTGTATTATACACTTGCTCATAAGGTCATGGTAGTTTAATTGCTGTTTGTTTGCACATGACGCTTACATGTATTTTTGTTTACAGATTGACATTGAATTTGGGAAGTTGTTCCCTGGGAAGCAAGACAACTTCCTTTGCAAGTGGGAAGCACAATTTGTTCCCAAACTGCTCAAATTGGCAAACTGTGTAATATTTTTGCAGAGTCGCGTTCCTTTCAAGCGCTCCAGAGTCTGAGCACCTTTTCTTCCTCCAACCGCATCAGGAAGAGGCAAGGGATGGGCAAAATGCAGCGTGAAGTCTGCAATGTCCTACATCCTGGATCTCAAGCCGGTAAAGTCAAAACACCTAATCTTTTGGTCTTTATTTGCTTTTTTGACTTGACATTAATTTTAACATATATACGGTTTACTAACATCAGTAATTTACGTCTCATTTTTTTTAGTCTTGTTTAAAATGTATGGCTACTGTTGCAAGTAGGGGTGTGACAATGCATTTGAGATGCAAGAACGCTGCTGATTCTAGCGCATTTAATTTATGTGTATTCACTTTAACTCAAACAGTTGTTCTGTAGTTACAGGAGTTGCCGTTTAAAAACAAATGGATCTGATTTATAATGAGTGAGCTGTTCTTTGAGAAAAGAACATTATTCTTTAGTGCCTTCACTGGTATCTGTTCATATCAGGAATTGGCAGATATTGAAAGTCAATATATCGTTATTGGACTTTTAAAAGCTGGATTGTGAATCCCTAATTAGCTGTGATCTCTTATGAGAGCCTTATTTTACGTATGGCATTGTGTGAATTGTGGGTCCTGCATTGTTTTGCAAATTGAATTGTGACATTTGAGTATAGTAACTGTTTTCAAACTGTCTATTTTTATTTTTTTATTCTCCAGAGTGGAACAAGCATTTTGAGTCTGACTGCAGACTCTGATTCAGAAGTCCAGCAACCAAAACTCATTTGCCTAGGACATCCCAGGAACCCAGCGGCACAATATTTCATCGTTGCAACTAATGACAAAGTAATCATCCCTCTCCAAGATGAAGGACTGGCTTGTGCCCTGGACAAACTCTTCAAACTATTTTGGGTGTGCAACCTGTCATATCCTCCTCAGGTCAAATCAGTATACCAGTTTTTGGAGTATGCTTATGATTTGAATAAGGAATCTGCAAAGCGCTCTAAAGTCTTAGAGCTGATTTCCAAATTGCATGGAATGTAAATTATCAACCAACATGTATACTTGTCCCAAGTGCAAAAGAGCAGTGTCAAAGCACATAAGACAACTCATCAATCATCTCAGACAAGTGCATGCACTAAGTGATGCACAAGATTACACCATTGTGTGCCACCAGGACAATTGTCAAAGAACTTATCACAAATTAAATTCATATGCTAAACATCTAAAGAGAGTTCACTCTCAGATTGTACAACCAGTAACGGAGTCATCGGCTAACCGTGGCATTGTGTTTGAGAAAGCCAGTGAAGAATCTCCCATTAGGATGGACACTTCAGACACAATTTTGGACTCAGTCAGAATGAAACATACTGTTTTATAACATTATCATGTGCTTCAGTCAGAATGAAACATACTGTTTTATAACATTATCATGTGCTTCAGTCAGAATGAAACATACTGTTTTATAACATTATCATGTGCTTCAGTCAGAATGAAACATACTGTTTTATAACATTATCATGTGCTTCAGTCAGAATGAAACACTGTTTTATAACATTATCATGTGCTTCAGTCAGAATGAAACATACTGTGTTAAAAATGTTATTACAAAATATATACAGTATATGGGTTCACAGTCTGGAAGTCACTCATTCGCAGCCCTTCCTCCCCCAGACGAATAAACAAAGCCCACCCTAGCCCCCTGTTGTTTCGGTCATCACCTCATTTGACATGCAAATGTTAGCCATGTCTCAGCAGCTCACAGCCTGACTGGAATCAGGGGCTGTGCAGATTGTCCAAGTGTGCTGGTCCAGATGCATGGTTTCTCTTGAGGTTTCTCAGTTTTGGCTTAAAAAAAAAAAACACATTTTTGTGTAAAAAAAAAAGTAGTCTTCTGTTCTCTAGATGTTACAGACAATGCCCGCATTCTCCACCACCTGAAGAAGATGACAAAGTCTGGGATCGCGTCTTAAATTCAGACAGAAGACATGTTTTATTGTCGATGGTAGAGACAGCACGAACAACAGATACAACAGAATGCAAGTGTATTATACAGAGCGGAGGCATGGAGACCTCCAATCAGCAGCTTCCACGTTGTGCTTGTAGCTTGGCCTTCAGATAGACAAAACATGAAGTGGAAAAGTACAGGCTTCTGCACATTGATAGAATGATGAGTTTAACTTTAACAAAAGTTGTTTAAAAGTGTTATGAAATCTCACATTCCCCCCCTCTGGTCACACATTCACGTGTGACCATCAGGATCGATAAACAGCAACATAACATCATAACTCAATACTTAAACTCGGTACTTCACTCGGTACTTCAAAAAACTCAGAAAACTCTTAAAACATGTTCAGATCTTTCATTAAAACTTGTCAACAATCTTCAGTAAAATACCAAACTTCATCAGTCGATGGTTCTCAGATATTGCTTTGAAAACAGTCTCTCCCACTTCTCCGTGTTGATTTCTTCAGGCTGCATTTGTGTCGAGCCATGAATTCTTCTGTGACGTGTCTTTCAATCGCACGTTTCAGCTTTAGTGTCCAGATTCAGCAATTCAATTCAGTCCAAATTATGTCCAAATTCAGAAATCCAGATTGTTCCAAATGATGTCCAAATTTTGTAATCCAATTGTTCCAAATGATGTCCATGCAAAAGAGGACGCTGGTGTTGTCCATGTCTCAGCAGCTCAGCAGGCCTGAGTGGAATCAGGGGCTGTGCAGATTGTCCATGGGCTGATCCAGATGCATTCTCTTGAGGTTTCTCAGTTTTGGCTTGAAAAAAAAAAACACATTTTTGTGTAAAAAAAAAAGTCTTCTGTTCTCTAGATGTTACAGACAATGCCCGCATCCTCCACCACCTGAAGAAGATGACAAAGTCTGGGATCGCGTCTTTAATTCTGACAGAAGACATGTTTTATTGTCGATGGTAGAGACAGCACGAACAACAGATACAACAGAATGCAAGTGTATTATACAGAGCGGAGGCATGGAGACCTCCAATCAGCAGCTGCCACAGTGCCATGTAGCTTGGCCTTCAGATAGACAAAACAAGGGAAAAGTACTGGCTTCTGCACATTGATAGAATGATGAGTTTAACTTTAACAAAAGTTGCTTGAAAGTGTTATGAAATCTCACAATAATTATGGTAGAACTGTGACAAATGTAAACAATAAAAAAACACACCTTGTCGTGTTAGGAAAAATGTTCAGGATGTAAAAAGATAAAGTATTGTATGAAATCAGATTGACAGATTTTGGTTTTGAACGAGTTCAACAGTTTTGTATGTGATGACCAAAGCCATGAAATGAGCTTTAGTTTTACAGGGAGAAACTATACATAGTTCCCACATGACGTCACTACATACGGGGATTTGCCGACCCGGCGCCATTTGTCTTGGCATTCTGTGGGCAAAACAATAGAAAAAGAAGCTGAAACGTGTTAATGTCGTGATAAAGTTGAAAATGGTCATCTCCTGCTGGGTCAATGGATGTTCAAATCGTGCCGGAGGTTCCGTTAAACTTGGATTTTACAGTATACCCATCATTAGACTTCATGAATGTGAGAAGACTAAGCTTTTGTCAGAACAACCACGGAGGTTATGGCTTGCGAAGATAAACAGGCAAGAAACTCCCTCAAAACACGCAAGAATATGCTCGGAGCACTTTGTGTCAGGTGCGTATCGTATCTTATAATGTGTTGACAGACGTAATTTACTCAGTACTAACTTGTGTATGCTGATAGCTGGTAACTTGAGAGTTTCATTATTTAGCGTTAGATTACTTTATTATGAGGAGGATCGGTGTCGCGTCCGAGGCTCTCGAGGGCAACGTAAATGTATTAAATAGATAATAATAGTTCTATGGTGGGCTAAAACAATGTTCACAAACAGCATTGCTTCTGTAAAAAGATCTGTGTCATAAAATAAACTGCTCTTTACGCCTGGAAAAATCAGTTGCCCACCATTCACCAAAACATACGGTCAAAAACGCGGAAATAAACAATAACAGCAATCCAGAGTGTCCGTGTGGCATTAGCATTAATTAAATTAATTGTTAATATAATTAAAATAATTAAATGGAGCTCCAACTGGTATTAAATCTAAAGTTTTTGAGAAATGTTTGCATTGCTTGTTAATTTTTGCTGCATAATTTGATCAAATATGTAAAACATGTCCGTAGCACGTTAAACTGTGGTGCCATTGCATTAATATACAATTATTTGCTCAAAAGTTGCCCTTTTTTTCCAATTTGCGTTTGAATATCTACATTTATTCTCATTCTTCTGTTTAATGGAATGCACAAACACAGCAGCGTGCCATCAAAGATGGCGTCTCCGAGGAGGTCATGTGACATTCATTGGTCTGTGGGAACTATGTATTCAGTCGTGATAAGTTTTATTTTGACTAACAGGACAGAAGCAAATGACAATATTTATTTTTACCAACCGTAATCGACAGGGCCAAGCCAAAGTAGCCCTGTATATTCTCTGGGTCAGTCTTAGAAACATTAAGTTTCCCCTCTGGGTCACAGTGTGTGCGGCACGGTGGCTGAGTGGATAGCACTCTCGCTTCTTGACACGGAGGTCCTGGGTTCGAATCCCGGTCAGGACAGGGCTTTTCTGTGTGGAATTGGCATGTTCTTTGTAGCCGCGTTTCCATTGAATTATGCGCTAAAACTTTTTCGATACATTTCAAAATTCGAAAAACCTGTAATTCACAAAAGCGGCCGTTTCCATTAAGACATATTCGAATAAGTATACACTATTTTCGCGCGTTTATTCACTAGTTTCTAGTACGTCAACATGGCAACAGAAGTAAACAACACTTTGATTTACGTGAGATATATTAATGTCTTGACTTCTGCTGCGGTTCTCATCCTCTCTGACCCCGGGAGAAACTGTGGCTGCTTTGACAGCTCCGCGAACGCGCGTGGTCATGTACCGAGCGCGGACCATAGACGCGCGCACAGAACCATAGACACGGGTCTTGCCTGTCTCCCCCGTCTCTCCCCCGTCTCTTCCCCGTCTCTCCCCCGTCTCTCCCCCATGCCTCTCCCCCGTCTCTCCCCCATGCCTCTCCCCCGTCTCTTCCCCGTCTCTCCCCCGTCTCTCCCCCGTCTCTCCCACGTATCTCCCAAGTCTCCACACGAAGCGCAGCCAAAACTCACTGAATAAAGCTCAGCTCGGCTTCCTCCGCTATATCGAAATAAGTGTTTCCATTATATATTGTATATTTAACAATAAAATGTGACAATAAAAAGAAAAATGGCAGCTGCCTAATATTGATAATAACAATAGTAAATGGGTAGATACAATAAATAATTAAAAATAGTAAATGATAAAAATAAATACAAATAGAATGTGTCTAAAAACATAAATAGATGTACTAAAAAGCAATAATAAATAATAAATACTAATCAAAAGCTACTCTACTCTTGTTATATTTATGTATTTATTATAAATGTTAGAGATGCCAGAGAAAAGGCGTCTGCTTTTTTTCTGAGTGGGAGGAGACACCAGCGGAGCTGTTTGAGTCAAATAACGTTCAGCGTTATATTACCAATAGTTTCTCTTTCCATAACGATATTCTCTCTTTTTGGAAAGATCACCAACGTGATGCAAAAGTTTACGTTATATGCAGTAGTTTTAATGTCGGCGGGTTATTCCAGAGACTGGCCTGCTACAAGGAGTTGCCCGTTTTAACCAGATTGTCGATGTGCGCGGGGCAGAAACTCGCCAATGTAACCCTGCTCACAAGT